GGGGGGAGAGAAATCTCTTGGGATTTCAAAACCAGCTCAGATTAACTCATATAGACTCAACATCTGATGGACCGAGATACTCGACAGACATTTTCTCTCCACTCGGAATCTAAATCAGGTCTCTTGCGTGCAGCACTAAAGTGCCTAACTTCTACACCACAGTCGCCGCTATCAGATTAATTACGTCAGATTTAAGTCTCAAAGCACAATAGGTGGTGACCACACCATGCACTAATCTTTAATCTTTCACACCGCAAACCACTTTAACAAGCTATTTGGGTCGTGCGTTCATATGACCTTATACAGTTATGAGCGCCGTAAAACTCTTACCAAACTAAAAAGAAGTTACTTTGATTACCATTCGTTAATGCTAGCAATTATTGACTTATGCTAGCAAACGATCATTACTCCGTACAAATAATGAATGCTTTGACAGGACATTTACTTGACTGAAAATAATTAAACAACTTCGACGAGTTGCTGGGGTCATCTTAATGCAAAACAAGCAGTTCGTGTCTTAAAGGATTTTTATAGGAAATTCCTTTGACATGACATTTAAAAATAAACACGTAGGAAATGGCACAGCCGGAAAACGGGACTCGGCAAGTCACAGAACACGGAGAAGAACACTTAAAGCTTTCTAAAAGATCTGCTTCTCTGATATGGGACATCATAAAAATGATAAAATTAGTGATACATAATATTCTCGTGTGTGTGTGTGTGTGTGTGTGTGTGTGTGTGTGTGTGTGTGTGTGTGTGTGTATGGAAATGAAAACACCCAAACAAAACAATTAATATAATTTGGGTCCCTTCTTTAAAAGAAAAATGTGCGTCATTTTACGTTTTTCCTGTATTTTAAATGCTAGATTCACACAAAACTTTTAAAGGTGTTGGGTTTTTTGTTCTTATTTTAAGTAGGTTTTGATACCATTCCAATGTCCTTTTTAGATAGAACACGCTATAAAACCTGTTGAAAAGCTCTTCTCAAGAACTCCAAACAACTCAAACTGAGAGAGGACATACATCCATATCAACCGCGGATCAACCCCGTGACTCCAGTGAGAAGTACTCGTATATCTGAAACCAAGGGAGAAGCCTCCAAGCGAAGCACACCCACAGGTGGTAGTGGAGCTTTTGAATGCTAAAACATGTGGCAAACTTTTTTCTTCCGTAATTGGTCTCCACTGGCCATAGCAGAATCACAAATCATCTTAATCTTTAATTAATTCTTCTACTTCGTTTATAATAATATAATTTTTTTTAAATATTCAACTCTGCAGATGCATTGGTCATCGTCACACATTGACGGAAGCACTATTATTATTAACGTATCTGGTTTATCGTGTGCCTTGTGGGACTCTCTTCTGACGAGAGACTGACATGTCGTTCACAAACTGTGACATACCTCCTCCCTCCCCCCCCTTCATCCTATCTTTTCCTCCCCGCTTTGCAGCTCGGGGGGGGGGGGGGGGGGGGGGGGGGGGGGGTTGAAGAAACTGGTAACTTTTAAATTACGTATGGCACACAATCAAATCGTGTGGAATTCTGGACTATGACACAACAGGTTTTACGAGATGTATCTGTCCACCAACCATAAACATTGGAATAGAAAGGATACACTCTTAGAAATACAGATATATTATGTACAGATAGATAGATAGATAGATAGATAGATAGATAGATAGATAGATAGATAGATAGA